TTCAAATCTATACACCAAACTCATATGAGGAAGGAGAGCAGAATTTGAGCTATACTTGGACTCATGTCCACTGTTCCAACCTGAAAAATGTGGCAACATTCTGATTGCACAACCCCCTGGTTATAATGGGGATGGCTAATGTGCACTCAGGAAGTTTTGCATCAAACGGCCCTAAATCTAAACACTTAAATAGAAAATAGAAGCTGTGCGATTATATGTGCAGATTATTTTGCTGCTCAACTACACTAAAAACCTACATATTGTATGAAGAAGCAAACTCAGTGAGTTTAGGTTCTAAAGCATCCCTTATTTTTCTTCCATAGACTGAAATAGAAATCAGCTTCCAAAAGCCTACCCTGCTATCTGCACTTTGTTTTCCAAATATAGAAATGAGGTTGATGTAATATCTGGCTAAACAGTATTTGGACCTGAGTTTCCTCCAAAATTATTACCTATCGCCAAATGGATAAGAAGCTGGAAATGAGTCAACAGTGTGCCCTTGTACCCAAGAAGGCAAACAGCTTATTAGGTTGCATTAGGAGGAGCATTGCCAGCAGATCCAGAGATGTGATAATTCCCCTTTATTCGGCTCTTGTGAGGCCACATCTGGAGTACTGGGTCCAGTTCTGGACCCCCCCACTACAAAGGATGTGGACGCATTGGAGAGGGTCGAGCGGAGGGCAACCAAAATGATTAGGGGGCTGGAGCATATGACCTACAAGGAGAGGCTGAGGGAGTTGGGGCTGTTTAGTCTGCAGAAGCCAAGAGTGAGGGGGGATTTGATAGCAGCCTTCAACTTCCTGAAGGGATGTTCCAAAGAGGCTGGAGAAAGGCTGTCAGTAGTGACAGGTGGCAGAACAAGGAACAATGGTCTCAAGTTGCAGTGGGAGAGGTCCAGGTTGGATATTAGTAGGGCTTGATAAATCACTATCTACTCGCCCGGTCGCCCCGTTCACCTGCGATCCCGCGCATTCACAGTGCGGGGCTACCGAGTGATTTTCGCCACGACCGTCAAGCTCTGGTTATTAGGAAATCTATTTCACTAGGAGAGTGGTGAAGCACTGGAATGGGTTACCTAGGGAAGTAGTGGAGTTTCCATCCCTAGAGAATTTTAAGTTTCGGCTTGACAAAGCCCTGGCCGGGTTGATTTAGTTGGAATTGGTCCTGCCTAGGGCAGGGGGCTGAACTTGATGACCTTCTGAGGTCTCTTCCAGCTCTATGATTCTATGAAATGTTGAAACAACAATCACAAAACAAAAACAAAACCTCCAAGTATAACTCAAATATCTTACATCAAGAGAATGCATAACTTGGAAGGCCCCCCTGCCAAAATGTTCAAGTTTGGTGGCTTTCTGGTGTTATAACCTGACCACCAGCTGAAGTCAATGGGACCTGCAGGTCACTCGCCCTTCTGAGACTTGGACACCAACATCTACACGTCACTGAAGCAGGCACCTAAATACGTGACCTGATTTTCAGCATGCGATTAAAAATTCTAGGGAAGGGCTGGCACTGGAGCTTGGGTCACATGGTGGATACCTGCCTGCTCCCAGGGCAGGCTGTGTGACAGACGGCTGCCCTTTGTGCTGGGTCTGGAGCCAGGATCACCATGCACCTGCTCCAGGGCTATCGCACTGCAGCCCCAGCCCCAAGAGCAGCCGTATCACAGCCCTGGGTCTAGCTCCAGGAACAGCAGTACGATGGCCCTCCCTTCCAGCCCTGGAGAAGCTGGGATCAGGGCTGCGTGGAGACTACCCCACTGCTCCTGGGATAGGCAGCTATTCTGTAAAATGGGGCTGGAGCCAGGGTGCTGGCTCCAGCCCTAGCACATGGGGCAGCTACCCACCACGTAGCCCCTCTCTGGGAGCAGCTGGGCAGACACCACACAACCTTGGCCCCTCTCTCCCCCACTAAGCCCTGTCCATCAGCTTACCTTCCGAGGAAGGCGAGTGCTGCTTCCTCTGAAGAAGAAGTGGGTGGGATTCAAATTCTTTGTGCATACCCACGCAGGAACAAAACGTAAACAAAGCTTAGGTCATAAGTGGTATTAAAGAAACTGAAAGGCCCGGTACTTGGGACAATGACTGTAAAGTCCCACTTTTCCTCTAAGGCTGGACTACGGTTGGCCCTGCCAAGACATGTGACCAA